GGCTATACTCCGTTCCACCCTCAGTCTGAGCGCAGTGGACGCCACAGGCCATCCCAGCCGATCCAGCGCCGGGAGAAAATCGCGTGACCTGCCGGTTGGGCAGAGGGACACAGGGAGCTCAAGGGCACATGACACTCTCCCCACGCTGGATTGGCTGGGATTACTCCTAGCGTCCGCTGCGCTCGGACTGAAGGTGAAACGGAGTATAGTCATCCACTTTCCCCTTCGCAAAGTAAGCCTGGCCCGAGGGCAGGCTTCCCTGCCCATAATCATTTCGAATCCCCAGGGGACTCTTGTAGTACCCCATTCTCTTTCCCCTTGCTCGCTCCTTCTATCTGAGAGAGGATATTCCTTCCGAAGGGGTGCTAGCGCACGTTGTGGGTGTTGTCACGCCGTCTAACTCCCTCGAACTCCCCTCCTTTCTTAGAGTGTATATAGCGTCCGCTGCGCCCCCATCTGAAGGAAAACGCAGTGCAGCAGGACGCTGCTAGGGGAGATGTGTAATTTTTCGCAGTCGGTTTCTATTTCTTGCTTCTTTTCTTTGTCGGAATCACGTTTCGACTACTTTCCGCAGTCTTTTTCATTTTCCAAGCAGCAACTTCCTCAGCAACTAAAGCAATCCGCCTATGAATTCATTTATTCCCGCGAAATAAAGACCTTGCCAGCGACGCGAACGCGGACAAATATGTGAGTGCGCCTTTCGTCACGCTACACGGCAACGAAAGTATCTACCGCGAAGGGCCACACCAGTGGTGGACGGATGAGAGAAGAGGAAGTTGATGTTTCGCTTGCAAGATCCAAAAGTGTGATTTTCGGTTATACAATCAGAGGAAGAGAAATTGTTCCTGAATTCAATTAAATGCAGTATAGACGAAGAAAAATATTATATTAATTGAACAGTTCCCCTAGTCCAGCGGTGTGATTGCCTTTTCTCTCTCTATGTGGCATTCCTTCGTGTTCAGCTGGCACAGTTAACGAGAGCAGCAGCGCTAGCAGCGGCGTTTCTCGTATTAAAAGTGGCAACGAATAAAATGTATTAAAAAATTCAACCCCCAAGTGCACGGGTTCTAAGGTTCGGATATGCCAGTGCGCTGTCACTGCTGTCACATGGTTCGGCGATGCTGTGCTCCTCTTCTCGTAGTGAAGGATGATGGTGCTTGGTGTCGCAGGTGTGAGTTACGGTCGGGCACGTGCTGCTGACAAAAGATTTTTTTCCCATCGTAGAAGCTTCCTGTTAATAACCACCGCTGGTCTTGGTCATTCGCTTCGCCAGCTGGGAATTTACCTGAGCGCCTGCAACTGTGCGATTTTAATGTGTCACATGTGGAAGTCCGCTGCCGCTGCTGCTAAATGCTCGAAAGGATGCACAAACGTAATTTAAATGAATTGAAAGCTAATTTACTCGGAATTAGACAAATTTCATTACAAGTATTTTGCAACATACGGCAATTAATTTACTGTAACGTTTACATCACGTCGGTACGTTCAAGAAAACCCTTCCCCCTCTCGTATTTACGTTGGTGATCCCAAAAGAATGTGCCGTCTTTGTGGCTGGCAATATAAAAATTAGGCAGATAACGCATTTTCAGGTGTCATCGCTTTCGGTCTAACCCGCATTTTTAATTTGTGTTTGCTGGCTGGGGTATTTTAAAGGATACGTATTTAAAGGTAACCATAGTTATGTAAAAACAAAGGTGGGGAATAATGATCGATATGCGGAACTACAGACCTATAGAGTTTTACAATTTTTTTTAAGACAGGTAATTAAAAACATTTGCTTTCGCGAATGGTGAAGAGTTTAGATAACTACAATAGAATCGCTTCGTGAAAGTTGGTTTCGCAAGGGCCAGTCACAGAGCTTGCTATCTTGGAACAAAATATTCATATATTTGCGTAACTTTGAGCATAAGAACCGGCTCCTGTTATTTTTATTGATTTTACTTAAGACTTCGGTTACTTGGATCATGTATTTCAATTAAAGACCAGAAAAAAAATTATCCGGACAAGCAACAGCTCAGATAGACTCATGTATTGCTCATCGCCAAGAATACGTTGGGATTAACGGCCGCACTTCGCATGTTACCATACACCCGACGCGGATGGTGTTTGACAGGGCATTACTTTCTACCTTTTATTTTCCACTCGGTTGATAAACGCGGTTGTTAGAGTTTATAGAAATATAAATGTTTTGTTTACGTTTATGGCACCAGTTTATTTTTCCCATGCAACTGCGTCCCCACGCAGATAGAAAGGGCAATCAAAATAGGGTGGAGCTTGCTAGCTAAAACAAAACAAATGCCTTACAAATGTAAGTTAAGGAAAGTACGACGGTTTGCTTTTGGTCGATGAATAAGACTATATATTACCAGTGATATTGAGTTTACCGTATGTTCTATACTATAATCCGCACCCGATGTATAGCCCGCAGGGGCTGGTTTCAGATGAAAAAAAAAAGACTTTCCTTAGATAGTTTTCACCCGATGCATAGAAAGCACGTAGTGTCTAATACGAACGTAAAAATTATCACACACAACGCATCTTGAAAATTTTCACAAAGAAACTTGTATCATTCACACATCACCAGTAATATACTCTGTTGTTTATAAAAATATTGTCACGTCTCGTCAAAGTGAACGATCTATAAAAATACGCACCTGTAGATAGTCCGCACCGGGTAAAGTTTCCACTTTTAAACCTTCATAGTACGTGAACTATACACTGGCAAATACAGTACTTGGACGAAAATAATAATAATAATAATAATAATAATAATAATAATGTGTTTTATTCCCATTACAAATACGTGTAAAAAATGCTGGCCTACAAAAGCGGATTCCTGCTTGTGCGTAGGACCAGACAATCGAGCGAAATACATATCAATACATCATGATAAAAAATCGAACGAGTAGAATGTGGCCATTGATACCAACATTAATACAAAACAGAGCCAAAATTCGGCACAAACCAAAATGAACACAACTTTCGAAATCATTAAGAGGCAAGTATGCAGTAAAGCAGTGGTTATGGAGGTAATGAGAGGCACCAATTTTTTATTTCTTTTTTAGTACTTTTATCGAATTTATTTTCATTAAAGGCTCAGTGAGCTCACTTAATAAGGTGGGAATAAAATGAGCTCTGCATCTTTTTACGTATCGCGTGTAAATTCTGGGGATTTTAAACCTTTCTTTGCGCCTTAGGTCCCTAGACTTGTCCACTGCAACCTTGAACGTTGCATCGTAAAAATAATTTATAAACGTAACATATATATGAAAATTTTTAAAGAATACAATTTGGAGCTTCTTCGCTTTATCTTTCATATCTAATGTTCCGTCCGGAGTTCCGTATGTAATGTTGTTCACCATATGTTTTAAAATTCTGTCTATTGCATTTGTCTTGTACGGAGAACAGTGCCCATATAAAGTGATTCCATATCGTAGAATTGATTCAACTAACGACCCGTACACCAGAAGTCTTATCTTTACGCTGCACAAGCTTCTTATTCTGTACAGATATGCTGAAAGGGCACGTAGTCTTTTAGTCACAAATTTTACATGGTGATTCCATGATAAATGTTCGTCCACGTATAATCCTAGATATTTTATACAATTATCGTATGGCAAAGGGTTACAAGTACAGTTATCACACGGTGTCGAATGAAGTAAAATTCTAGGTGACATATCAACACGTTTATGAGAGTTTCGGAAGCACAGTAACTTAGTTTCGGCAAAATTTACTGAAATGGCGTTAGAGTTAAACCAACCTATTAGTTCATTTATATTATATAATAGAGGTTGTGACTAGATCTAATACACTTAGGGGCATTAGAAAGGTATTTAACTCGGTCCTACATGCGTTCGTGATATAGGAGCTCGGAACTCTTATATCACGCTGTTCCTCTCCACATTTCATAAAAAGAGGAACAGCGCTGATTTCGTATATTGGTGTAGGCACTCTGTGCTTCCAAGGAAACGTATGGGTCCAACTGCCTATACCCGAATCAGAGAAGAAGATGGCCGAGAGCCTCGACAGGCAGGCCTTGCGTGACATCACGGGCCTATACGCCAGTTTACAGCGATCGTGGAACTAAACATACATGCCCATCTCTACACTCTTTAGGACCGAGCAGAAGTGGCTTCTTGCACTTCAGCGGCTCCGAGTGGAGAGCACCAAGGCCAGCAGTCGCATCTTGCAGGCATCGGGATAAAACGTTGAACGCAAGTGTGCGCTAAGTCTACTTCCCTTCCCATGGACGCGATAGACATTACACACCACAAACCACCTGCGAAAATCATAAAACAAAACAGACAGCGCGAAAAGAAAAAAAAAAAAAAAGCACCAGCGATTCGCCATGAAAGGGAAGTGATCCCGGGCGACGGGACGCCGCTGCACTTCTACACTTATGCTGCACAGAAGGGTGACCACACTGCAATCGCATGATGCTACGACGTGACCCAATTGGGACGGGCACTGAGACTTTGGGACAGGAAATGAAGCGGAGCTTCAGGCGTTGGTCCTAGCTATGGGGAATGTCCAGAGAAGCTTACTGGACACGTAGGCACACATAGGTCACCCTCCTTGAACTCGTAGTTGCAGAACGGTAGACAGCCGTATTCTTGAACGGGCCTCCACTCGAACCTCCACCTCGACTCAGTGGAGTGGAGGAAAGAAGCGCGCCTCCACTCGAGGAGCCATTGGGCTGCAGAGACGCGCCTCGGCGTTTCCTCGAGTGAGGAGCTCCTCGAGAAACCCTCCTCCACTCGAGGCAACTCGAGGAGACGTGACAGGCGTCTGGTTACGAGGTTGTAGTAAAAAGTTAAGTTGAAAACATTATTGTGGTGTGAAATATGAACATATTAGTTCATCTTGTTGGAAGGGAAACATTTTAATAGCATTGCAGTGCGAGTTTGCAAGAGCTTTTCTTCGAAGCGCGAATGTTTTATGCGTTGTAGCCGATAACAGCAACAAGCGTTCTCCAGTCTGGCAACAGCGGCGCCCGCGACTTCTGTTTTCCGCGCCTCGCCAGCCTCGCCCAGCCGCCCAGCCTTCCGTCTTTGCTTCGGTCGCCTAAAGAAAGGTTCGTATCTGCCCGACTGTCTTGCTTTTGACGTCTAACGATTATCTTCCACCCTTCTTCTTTCTTCAGAGCAACCACAGTCCCACAGTGTTTTCCAACGATGCCTAAGCAATCCGCGAACGAAGGAAGGATTGTCTACACGAGGGAGGAGCGCGATCTCCTCCGAGCACTTGTTCAAAAATACTGGAAAGTTATAGAAGATAAAAGAACTAACAACTCCTCGAAAGAGGCTAAACTTGAAGCATGGGAAAAACTCTGCACTGAGTATAACTGCCAGCCGAATGTCCGTCCAAGGGACGTTAAACAACTAAAAAAGTGTTGGGATAACGCTAAATCCAGATGGAAAAAAAGTGACTCGGAGGAGAAGCGCGACATCCACGCAACAGGTATGTGGTTCATTTCTACTTTCGGCAAAATAACGCAGTGCGTTCGCAGAATCATGACACGATGTGTCTGCTTAAATAACTCTGCAGAGGAATTTTATGTGGCCACCTGCGACGTCCGCAGGAGAATACTTTGTCGCTCTATCTGGTGCTTGTGCTGACATCGACAACCTGCGTTTTTGTGTTGTGCAACATTTAAGCGACCATTGCACTGAGCATTATGGTTGAGCTACACCACCCTAACCCGAGTTTCGACTTTGTCTTGAGCTGATTTAGAGAAGCAATCTGAATGTGTAAATAAAAACCGGTGCACAAAACTGGCACTATAGTACACGTTACATGAATTGAGCCAAGCAGGCAATCTTTATGGATGCTCTTGTTTGTTTTTTTTTGTGCCAAGCTTGTTTTTTGCATGTTGCTGGTTTAATTGTATGTCATCTCTCATTTCTTAACTGTGACGATCTAGGAACAGCCATTATAAGGAGTATTCACCTGCGGCTTATGCGCAGGTTTCGTGGGGTGCGTTCTGGGTACATCGCCATCTTTGTACCCTTGACAGCTGCACCAGGACCAGCCGCACTACACCACAAATCTTTCCCCAAATTCTTTGAAACCGGAATTTGCAGCGCCAGTATGGTGTCGTGCGTGATGGTTGACTGCCGCACCAAGTTGCAATTGAAGAAACTGGAGGAAAGCAAGCCTGCAAACTCCCCGTTACTTTAAGATTCTGAGAGTCCGAACACACGAGTGTGGGAAAGCACGGTACCTCAATGCGAATGGCTTGCGCGCATCGACCGAGAAGGTGTCGACAAGTACCAATGTTTTCAAGGCACTTCGTCCCGGGTAAGTGTCGGCACCATTTGTTTTGTCGGACATCAGCAGTAAGATTTCCACAAAACGTTGCCTGTCACTGCTGCTCATTGCGACGTGTGTCACATGTAGTTTTCGACGGACCGAGCGACAGCGGATCTTGTCTCGAGCTTGGAAGGAATGAAAAAAAGAGCCATAGGGGAGTGCAGTGAGAGTGTGACTCTTTTCGCCTGAGCAGTGGTAACTAGAAAGCGACAGGAATAAACTCGGAAGCGGAGATTTCTTTCGATGTTGGTTTTCTGGCGCTCCTGCGATAAGCTCACATTCGAGTTTCTTAAGCATGTTTTTTTATTGTGACCGACTAGCAACTAGCTCTAAAGTATGAACCAGATATAAGTGATTCTTCCAGACAAAGCGACGCGACAGGACCCCCTGTCACTCGGTCCGTCGAAACAACAAGCAAGCGATGCAAGTCGCAATGAGCAGCAGCGACGGGCGATGGGCGAAGCTTTGTGGAAATCTTGCTGCTAATGTCCGACGAAAGCAAATGGTGCCAACGCTCACCCGAGGCGAAGTACCTTGAACACACTTGTCTTCGTCAAAAACATTCAGGTTGATTCACACAAGTCATTTGCATTGCCTTCTCACGGAGAGTGACCGTGCTTTCTCGCACTCGTGTGTTCAGGCTCTCGGAATCTTGAAAAAAATGGGAGTCCGCAAGCTTGCTCTCCTCTTTTTTGTTGTTCAACTGCGACTTTGTGCAGCAGCCGACCGTCATGCAGGACACCATACTGGCGCTGCGAATTCTGGTGTCACCGAAACCAGAGAAAGATTAGTGAAAATAAAACTCTCTGTGAAACTTTTAGATAGACTGTAAGCAGTTACTTGTAAACAGTGAGGTCAACCAGTGATTTGTGCTAACATGCTAAGCTGGGATCAATTTATTTGAAAACTTATGTATGTTCGTAACATGGCTGTAGTTGATCACATTGAACCTCTGTAGCATTTTCTATACAGATTGTGAAACAGCACAATCATTATGTCATCACTTTTTATTCTTGCAGTTTAGTGTCAAACTACAAATTTTACTGGCTTAGTTGTGGCATGATTCCTTGTCCTTTCTGTGTTGTGCCCTGTACATCTTAGCTCATGGATGCTGTCACATAATGTACGCCGCAGGAGGGGGCCCCCGTACCTGCCGGCCCATGAGCCCTTCCCTCCAGCTTGTGGGGGCACTGGCGTCCCACATGGCGACACGGCTGGGAAACCCGCACGACAGCGACTGTGCCCATGCTGACCAGCCGGTGCTGTCACTGCCGCCGGCTGCCATGCTGGAAGCAATGGTTGACCAGCGCGCCAACTTGGACATGATGCCGGGTAAAAGTTTTGACTTATGACTGCATTTGCCATGCAGAAACTAAATAGCTCCAAGCGAGCAAGCATTTGTTTTCTGAGGAGCGCTCTCCTGGCGGTTTTCCTCCATACTAATGCCGACGTCAGGACTCGTCCATGTGAAGCAAACAGGGGGGAGCCCATCAACGCAAAGGAAATGCTGTTATCAACCGCGTCTTCTAAGCGTGGTCTTATTGAAAAGGAAGAACGCCAGCTCGCTTGGAGCTATTTAGTTTCTGCGTGACTGTAGATATAGAAATCGGTTTAGAGGTTAGTTACTACTAGGCTGCCTATTTTGTTGTGTTTATTTCTGAGAAAACTGCTGATGTTCTTCCGTTTATTTGGTGTTTCATTTTTGGTGAGCTGTTTATAGGAATAAAACTGGGATTATGGGTCAACGAATATCACCCGCCCCTACAATGAATGTAGCAGTTGCGCAGCGGGCACCTTCCCATAATCCTCCTTGTCACAAAATGTAACTCAAGCTGTTTACGTTAGCTGTTAGAATGCGCGCTTTGTATCTCCAGCTAGCTCTGCCTAGTAGCTTGAATGCGATGCTCATCCCAAATGCATATGCTGTGTTCATAATGACACTTCATACGGTGACTGGATTCGATGCGCCTAAGTCGCCTTTATGTAGACACGGCTGGAGTCCAGTTTGCACTGTATACCAGTTTGACTCTGTTAGCCTTCGCATCATTCACTGTGGAAAGCTTCATTGTTTAGCACCACCATCCATAACCAAGCCAATGAAGATAAATGGTGTAATAATGCAACTATGAACTAGCCACAACACTGGAAGAGGTACAGAACAGGATCCCTCAAGCAGATTACACCAGCAGCTGGCATTCAACATTTCCATAATGGGTTCACATTCTCTCGTATCTACCCCCTGCCTGTAACACTCACAGCATCTATGTGTTGTGCCTGTCCAGATTCTCCTGCCTTGCCCGCTTCGCCTGCATCGCCACCACTGGACTGGGGTGACAGCATGGAGCCGGCATTTGCTGCATCGCCACCCAGGCCCCCAAACCCTCCGTCTCCTCAACCGACCCGTGTGGCCCCCCGAGCGAAACCGGCTGTAGGCCGCGTCGCAGCTTTTGAGGCGATGTTGGCTCCAGAAACGAATGCCCGTGTGGCCGCCCTGGAGAGGGAGGAGCTGCGCAAGGAGGAGCTGCACCAGTTGCAGGTGCAGCTGCTTCGTGGCCAGCAGCAGCGTATCGAGCTGGAACTTGAGCTGCTCCAGCTCGACAAGCGAATTAAGCTGCAACAGCTGCTTGCTCTCGAAGCAAAAACACAAGATTAGGTGGATTTTTTTTAGCGTTGCATTTTAGTTTATTACATTAAGTTTCACTTTCTTTTTGTGTATGGTTGGTTTTTTAAAGGGTATTAATTCGTTCATTTTGTCCCTGTTTAGTAAAGTCTTCTTTCTTTTTTCCTTTTTTTAACTTGGTGGTGTAATATTCATTTGTAGTGAACTTTCTATACAAAAGGGCAGTTGCATCAACTTTCGATGCATTCTCTCAAAGAAAAGGAGGTAGCCCAGTATTTTGTTTCTTTCTTTACGCCGATTTTTTAAGAGAGGAAGTAATTATGATGCAAGTGTTCAGGCAGGGGGAAGTTAGTCGGCCCCAATAAGTGTCTATCCACATACTCCAAGCTGTGATGCTTTAACACATACTGCCACCGGCCCCCCTGGAGGAAGCGTAGCAATATATTTTTTTCTTATGTACAAACAGATGTTGCCAGCACTTTACCATTGTTCTATTGCCATGTTGGTTTTATTATTGTGTGATTTGTGCATGCTGTCTTGTGAATTAAATGTTGTGAACCATCATTGAATTCAGACGTGTCCCATTTACTGTCAAAACATTCGTGCCATAAACCCTATATGGACTTATGCCACCACCCAGAATAAAGTCAACACCATCTTGACTAGCCAAGGTTTGCTCACTGCCTTTTTGTGGCCCACTGCAAAGTGCCAGTGCAGCAATTGGGCCCAAGCTTGCAGCCGACTACATACTGATATATTAATTGCATAGTCCCAGCCAAAACCTGATGTGCTCAATTACTCCCACTGAAAAGTAGTGCGACACCACCAGCATTGAAGTGCAGCGGCCCTGCACGTTCACATTGTTTAATACTGTTGGGACGCCCTTGACCAGCAACAACTGAGAGTGTCCTCCCAAGGTATCGCTGCGTTGTTGCATTATGCATTCTAACCTAAAGCCCTTCAGGTGTGAACCCAGTTGCAAGATAAGGTTTCAAGCATCTTTAAGAACAGGTTTATTCCACACAAAAAATCTGTACAAAATAGGGAGCATGTGCCCTTCAAGAAAAGGTTCACATGTCTACCGTCAGATGCCTGGCAAACTTCCATGCAAAAGTAAAGACAACACACAAATCCGTCAAAACGTCCACACAACACTGACAACACCATCAGAAGCTAAACAAAATGAAACCACGAAACAGCTTCCACCCTTCGACAGCGGCACTGAAGGCAGACGTCGAAATAATAAAGCCACTATTTTGATGTTTTACGGAAGTGACGTCACAGTTGTCAAAATAATTTGAGAAATATTTTGACGGTCGACATTGAAATAGTCGATGCTCGGCTTAAAACCTTCCCCCTTTCCCCCGGTTCTTTATGCCCATCTCTCCCTAGCCAACCCCCCTCCCTCCCCCCACACACTAACAAAATTCTGGCTACATTGCTGTTGTTTTCACAATGCACCTAGTATGTAAAACTCCTAGAAATAATCTGTGCCCGTTTCCATGCCCCGTTGATGGTGTCCACGGGGTCCGGAGTCTGTGGCAGGTGGGGCTGCCTCCGACGTCGTTGAGGGGGAACTGGTGGAGTGGGCATAGGTGGGGGACACGGCTCATTCCGCAGGCGGGCCAAGTTGTGCAGTGCAGCACAAGCCGTGATTATCACGGCTGACCGTTCAGGCTTGTGCTGCAACCGCATGTCGAGGCACGGAAACCGCCTTTTCCACACACCAAAGGCCCGCTCCACCGAGTTCCTGGTCCGGATGTGGGCCTTTTGGTACCTACGTGAGAAGAATGATGAACTATCAGAGATCTCTCTACTGCTGCAACCACCGACAGAGTGAGAACGGCAGGGTGTGTCTTTTGAACGCCTGGCTTCTTGCATGTGCTCTACGCCTTGCAATGTGCTTTGGCTGTGTGTGTGTGTCCAAGGTGCACGAGATGCTACAATGCTGGCTAGGGTAAGACACTGAAGCTGGAGTTGGGACAACTGAAACTCCTCCCTGCTGTTCTCACCTTGTCAGTTACTATATACATTGTTGCTTCACATTGAAGCGATACAGTAGTTTTTAGGTAGAAAATGCGACACTGATTTGTATAGCGGTCTATCGCTGATAAATGCTCTGACCAATGTTCTTGGCAGAAAGTACCGAGTAGGATAATGTTGCTCTAGATATAGACACACAGCTCTCTCCTGTGGGCGGTTAATGTCTCTTTGCGCTTTCAGAGTTGCATAAGGTAACTCAAAGCATCAGTCCGGGTGATACGGGTATGCCATACGGTATGGACCCTTTCTGCGAGCTGCATTTTGGCACTGCTTCTTTCCGGAGGCTACGGCTTTGTGTATGGTGTGTTGTTGGGGGATGCTTCCTACATTATTGTCTGCTAGAGTGGAACACTAAGCCATAGTCCCACTTTGGCAACAAACACCAAGAAGCAACACTGACCAGTTCCACTGAGCGACAATGTTGTCGAGCACTGTGCGCTTGCCATCCGATTTGCCAAAGATGTGACAATCACATGCAGACAAGAAAACGATTAACGTCTGGGTCTGTTTTCATAAACCAATTGTACAGATAAGTTTGCGGAAACAAAATGAAAAGATGGAATTGTAAGTGCAGCTGATACATCAATTTTGGGTTAGCTTTAAATCTCATGATTTCTTCCAGCAGTGTAGTGCATACCTTTCCTCTGGACTTTTGGCTGCCCCTGGAGTGGCCAGTGGAGTCATGAGGTAGGTGGTGCAGGCATAGCCTGCATCTCCCAGCAGTACCCCGGGTACACGCTGGTGCTCGTACAGGACCCGTGCACGACTGTTGTCAAAGATCCGACTGTCGTGCACGGAGCCTGGCCAGCTGGCCACGATGTCGTAGAACTGGAGCTGGGGTCCCGTGATGGCCTGAGGGGGGGAAAGGAACAGCATTGGGATGAGCAGGCTGGCGTGGTATCAAAACAGACACATTTTTAGATCCAGATACCGTAAAATCCGGAGAGATGCCCTACCCCTATTTCTGGCTTGAACCACCGAAGGATAGCCCACTCCTAGTAATAGTAGTGTTGGGATCAATGATGGCCTCAGAACGTTGCTGGCTGGGAAGTACAGTCATCTTTACTTCGTTGCCCCTTGCCACCATAACAAGCTTGGAAGGGATACGACCTAATATTGACAATTTTTTAAAACTTTTCTTGATGTCGCATTGAAAGTTAGCCCACTCCATATTTTCAGCCGATATGCTCTTGAAGTTAGATGGTCTATCTCGGGATTTTATGGTATACTCAGCGAGTAAGTGCAGTTGCCAGCTTTGCAAATGAGGAGTTAATGACACAATAGTTAGTGCCCTGACTATGTCATGCAAATATAACGAAGCATGGCAAGGCCTCATTCCTTGTTATCAGAGATCCAGTAGATGATTGCTCGACCACCCATTAGCTTGAACGATTATCACATTCCTTGGTGTAAGCACCATATGGTTCTCATTTCTCTGTAGAAGTAACACAATCCTTGGTTTGTAAGCCACACCACTCGAGTTAAGACACAATATAGATTATTAAATATACAAGTTTTATGTTGTAGGGATGTCTTTTTTCATTAATTATTTACTGTTGGCTATGTGAAAGGAATTTACTTTTACTGTGCCATATTTCCCTGCCTTCACATCACAAGTGGAACGCCGTTCGGACTTTATTTATTATTATTATTATTTTTTTTTTTTACTATGCTGTGTTTTATAATGTCACCATTCTCTTTATTTATTTGTTTTACGGTAAGAGCACAAGCAAAAATGAACTTACTTGCACGTTGATGGAAAAGTACCCTTTTCTGTTACGGTAGACTTCGCCATCGGGACCACCAGGCCCCTTGATCCTAACGTGAGTACAATCAATGCACCCAGTCACTCCGGGAAACTTCTTCAGAGCATAAAACTCTAGCATCACGCGATCGAAGTCCGTCGCGGTGCTGGGGAACTTCACGAGTCGTCGGAACAGGGTGCCGGCGATGAGTCGCGACACCCGCTCGACAACCCGACACACTGTCGGCTGCGACACGGCGACGAGGTCGCCGGTGACGACCTGGAATGTCCCAGCGCCGTAGAATCTCAGCGCGATGAGAAGCTGAAGCATTGGAGGGACCGGCAGACCGCGATTGCTCGCGCACTCCTCTAGCGACAGGGACTCCAGGAGGCTTGCCACTGTCGCTTTGGTGAAGCGGTAGCGCGCGAGAAATTCGCGGTCGTTGAACACCTCCAGAGGGTTCAGCCGGTCCCTCAAACGACGCCGCGGCACTGGGACACTCTCATCTTGGTGGTCGTAAAGGATTTCTTCTGCTCTAAGGACGAAATCCACGAAGTCGCAGAACGATCTGTCGGCCGCCATTACCTCCTGGGACCGACTCGAGTTTCGAGGAGCTGCTCGAGGAAGCGCCGGACCTACCTTGAGATTTTCGAGGAAAGAGTCGAGTATTTCCTCGAGTCGAGGAGCGTTTGGAGTGGAGGTCGGTTTATGAAGCGCAAAACCGGCCTCAAGTGGAGTTTCGAGTCGAGTTTGAGTCGAGTTCGAGTCGAGGCCCGTTTATGAATTCGGCTGAGAGACTGCGTGCCATTCTTCAAACCAAAACCGAAATGAACCCTGTTACTGTGAGGGCGCATCTCAAACTGCCGTCTTATATGCGTCTACTCAACTTTTTTTACAGCGTTCGCTCTATTAAATTGGAAGAAGTTGAGGGCTTTGTAAGTGGAGTTGATTTTGGCATTCTTGTAAGTAACATTCTTCAAACCATTTTTTTTAATGTTGGTAACTAAGATGGATCATGTTTTAAATTCAAGGTAACCTGCACCAAACATGTTTTAGAGCGCAGCTCTTAGGCGGCAATTTCCGGCTTGTGCGTCGGCGTCGTCGTCGCCGTAACCGCGCGTTACATTGTGGGACGTTTCCCATAATGACGTCACAAAGGTCACAAGGAAGGAGAAGAAGAAGGAAGATATTTTTCCGCTAAATTTATCGGGAACATCTTCCGCTAGATTTAACGGGAAAAATTACCCACTAAATTTAGAGGAAACATTTCCCGGATACAGTAAGCGAAAAAATTCCCCGGTAAACTTAGCGGAAATATTTCCGCGCTAACATTAGCGGTAACATTTCCCCGCTCAATTTAGCAGAAAAAATTGGCCACTAAATTTAGT